ACCCAGGAGAGTCAAAAGAGGAAGACAAAGTTGATGATGAGGATGGAGTGGATGGTGGTGATGGGTTAGTACGTACCTGGTTCATGTTATCATTGGTGTTATCTTGGTGATCTTCCAAGCTTTCATCTACCAGAATAGTGGTTGGTACATCATCTGTTCTTTCATTCCATTCTCATGCTTTATCCTCCATAAATAACATGTCTCTACTTATAGTTACCTTGCTTTTGGAGGGGTTGCATAATTTGTAAGCTTTGGAACTTCACTATAATCAGAACATAAGAAAGTGATTTGGAGAAAAAAGTTACAACAATTAGAGGATATTTCTTGATCATATTTTTGCACCGAATTTTTTTTTGTCTTCTAGAAGCAACACACCGTTGTCAAGTACATTGTGTCTTTGCACCTTAGTAGTCCTAGACATAGCCGGTACATGGGCTTATTGATGGTTTCCATTTGTTTGCTTTTTTGGTTTCAGAATCTTGATTGTGTATGTATTGGTTTTCTTGACTGGTTGTTTTATAATGAAGTTCAGTGCAGCCTTTATCATTTTGTGGCATCTCAAATAGGCAACAAAGTTTAACTTCTACGTTATAACTTTGGATAATGTATTTTTGGTATTTTTGAAAATATATAATATTAGGTCCGACCCCTGTGCTTGGAATGTTTGTGTTCCTCCCCTGCATTGTTGCAAGAAAAATGAAAACTTTAAGACCTTCGATGTAGATAGTCTGTTCAAGTGAGCAAATCCAAATTTTAAGTATACCACAATAATCAATGGCATGATACACTCTATAACTAATGAATAGTGTTAAACACAATTTTAATATATTTTATGGGTTTAACTTATGTTAAGTTGTGTGTGCGATCCAGATCATCATCATCATCATCATCATCATCATCATCATCATCATCATCATCATCATCAAAGTTCAACTTAATTTATTAAGAAAATACCATCGTACCCATCCAAACCGTTGGATCCAGAGCAAGATCTCATCCAAAGGCCGAGTCCTACAATTCTTACGGAAAAAGTTCTCATCCGATCAATATAATATAATATAATATAATATAATATAATATAATATAATATAATATAATATAATATAATATAATATAATATAATATAATATAAAGAATAAACACATTTTAAATGAATGAAATGTCATTTAATTATGATCCATGGTGTTGGTTGGTCCGTTCAGAGCACGAGAAGCCACGATGGTTGAAATGCATCTACTCGGGGACGGCCCCATTGACCCCAAATCACCCACAAAGTCTCATATAAATTATTTTTTTATTAATTAAATTATATTTTGTTGTAGAAAAGCAGCTTTTAGAAACGACAACATAATCTTTTAATAGTTACTATTTTAATACGATTTGTTATATTATTCAAAAGTCCATCATTAAATTTATATAATAATATAGATTATGATAACATGTGTAATATGTTTATTTCTTATGATTTTTTTTCCCTATTTATGATTTGGATTTAATATATTGATTAACATATATTTATTTGATAATAATATTTGTTTTTATATATGTTGGTTTCACCGTGTGGACATTTTTATTTTGTTTGTAAAACAAAAAATACGATTAAAAAGTTTTACATTATGAACCGAATACATATGAAACAAACACATTGTGAAACAAATATATGCTAGTTAATATACTAAATTCTAGTCTTAGATGAAAAAATCATGTGAAATAATACTTTAAAATAATAGTGACACCATAAAATTGGAAAAGAGCGACTAATTAATTTTATGTTTGTAATACATCAATTGAAGGATAAATTCATTTCTAAAAGACAATGCTCGAATTACTTAAAATGGAAATTTAAGTTTAACAACGATGAATTACAAATTAAATACTATAAAAATGCAGAGTATCAGCGAAGGAAATTTCCCTCGCAAATCCGTCGCTAAAAGGGTCTTATGTCGCTAATCTGTCGTTGATATTATGTCGGCTCGTAGGTTAGGGATATGTACTGCTAAAACCCATTAACATATGTTATCTCCAAAACATAGAAGACGTCCCCAAATTGCTAAATCTTTCTCATGCCTCTAATTAACACTCAAAACTCATCAAAGTGTTGCTATTACCAAACCCCACAAGCACCTGATGCACATACCGACATGAAAAAATGTTAGGCTTAACGCCTAGTGAGTTTAAGCAGTTTATACTTTAGATGTAAAACAATAAAACTGAACGAACACTCTTTACATAACGATTTTCCCCAGGTAAAAATATGGATGCAAAATACACATAATCTTTTGAAAATCATTTTTACTCATATACTCCAAAAAGGAAAATACATATTTCGATGAGTAGAGAGACGCAATTCCATTGAATATGGCAGAATACAAAAGTAAGTCACGTATCAACATTTTCGAACTGCATATAAGATTTATTGACTTTAATGTCTACTATAACAAGTGTCACTTCAAGTCCTGATACCTTTAGTGTCTACTCTATCGAGTTTCTTTTTAAGACCACAAATATCTTTAGTGCATAGTTCTTCTAGTGTCACCTCAAGAATACCAAATCTTAGTGTCTATTTTCTCTAGTTGAGTTCCAATCTCAAGGTTCCCTACTCGACCTTTTTAGTGTCTGCTCATAAACATTCAAGATAGGGAACCTTAAACTTCTTACTTGATAACACAGGGCAGTTAACCCTCATATATAAGGGATAAAACATCAAAACCACAATATCCACAGTCCCGAAGTCTGACTCGTAGGAGTTCACATCCGCAATACCGGGACAACCACAATGTCTACTTGAGCATTGGCCATAAAAGTGAAAATATCAATACTCCTTGCTTACCGTCTCCAATGAAAACCAAACAATTTATACTTCCAAAATAAATCATAACCCAACTATATACGTTTTCCAAATGATTAATAAAGTCAATACACCATGAAGGTAACTACATCAAATAATTCTCAAAATCAAATAAATCATCAAAACAACACCCTTTATGATTTATTTATCAAAATGTCAAAAACCCAAATATAGACATTTACAAGATTTATGAAAATCAAATATACTAAGAATGCAAATCTCATCAAATAATCAACACATTTGTTAAATGAAGAAAACACCTTAAGATTCTGAAATGGACATTTTTGGTATGTACATAGATTTCATAAAATAACTTGAAACTCAACTTGCTAAGTTAGGTTAAACCTAGATTCCACACCCAAATATTTAACTTCCAAGAATAAAGATTTGAGTTCCACATGCTTTGCTCTTCAAGAACAACATTCAAACCAATAGACACTAAATATTTACACAAACTTCAAATTCACTAAAAATCTCAAACATTCAACTCAAAATACCCATAAGAAGCTTACGTCCTCAAAACTTGGAATCTCTTTCCATAGATCTTTAATCTTTAAGATCCATTCTCAATTTGCTCCCAAAACTTCCCAAAAATCGACCCCATGGACCAAAAACGCCACGGAAGAGAGGAAATGGAGTGGAGAGGAGAAAAATGGGAAGAAACCCTAGAAAAATCGAGTTTAAAACTGATTTGGGCATGAATTCGACTTTGGCCGCACCAAAAGTCCCCGTTTTCCCCCTTGGCCTACGCTGCATGCGGTGCCGTGCCCCAAAGTTCTCTGGCCATGCTCCAACCGTTCCCTGATCCAGTGCCTGGTGCGGCTTTGGTCGCACGATAAGTCGCCCAAACCACCAAAATGACCCGTATTCCTCCAAACTAACTCCCTTTTTGCTATCTAAACATATTAGGGTGAAACTCTCGACCAAAAAATGATTATTTCTCATTTGGCAACGGAATCAACTCGATAAATCCTATAACTTATATTTTAACAAATAGAAACAAAATTATAGGTGTTACAATAGTTCTCACAACTATCATAATATATGAAGTTCTCAAATAATTAAGTACTGTAATAATAAAATATCAATGTTTTAATGTGTTTGATGAAAATAAGTTAATTTATTTTATAAGTTTATTTTAAAAAATCTATTTATTAAATAATAAATTAGCATATAGTTTTTTCTTTCATAATCTACTAAAGATGGCCTATCGAAGTTTCCTTTTCTTTTTTACATTTTTTTTTATAATTATACATCTTATATTTTATACAAATCCTTTTTATATTCCTTCTATCTGATTATTTTAAGTTGATATTTTATTTAGTTTTTATTGAATATAGACTATTAAATCAACTAAAAATTAGCTTATTAATGAAATTTAACAATTAGTTTATTAATTAATTTATCAAACATAACATTATTTATAAAGTAATTATATTTTATATATAATTTAGTAAATTTTTTACGAGACATTTCCTCCATCTCAAAATAGAAAGCACACAAGATTTTATATATGAATAATTATTACAAATTTTAGTTAATTAAAAAACAATTTTATCTTTGATTAATATTTCTGAATTTAGGTTAATAAGAGAACAATAAGAAAAAAAAAACCAGTTGAACTACGCACAATTTTACATTAAAATTACATTTAAAATCACATGTGATTAGTGAGACTTTGGCCATGTCGATTGTCGCCTGCACACCTTTATGTTGACAGTTAGTGTAAAATCTCATATGATTTAATCATTTTATTTTCTTTTATTTAATTATAGTTTCTATTTGAATATCTCCCTGATATATATATCTATTATCTACCTTTAAATATTTATACACTACCTACTTAGATTTTAAAATTTAGTTATTTATTTTGAGAAAAATAAAAATATGGATTTTTTTAATTATATATTTGGAAAATGGAATCATAAAAGACAAAAGGAAATTCCAAATCTAGTCACCAAGAAACGAAACTGTTCATATATCTACAAGAATCCCACAATATACAAATCACACAAAGTGGTCCAAACCCCACGAATCCCTAAGAAATCCATTATCAAACAAGACCCAGCTGATAATTTAAGTAAAACTAAGTGCCGTTTATTAATTAAACAACACGAGTTAAGGTCTTTGAGAATAAACAATGGCAGAAGCAGCACCTTTCTCTTGGATATGCTCTAATTCTATTTCTCCCCTGAACCCAATCATATTTTCCCAAATCATACAGTCTTTGCCAAGTTTTGCTCTGATCATCTCATGGGTTCAATTGGGTTCTCACTGTTTTCCCCAAAACTTTACAAAACCCCCGGCTACGGCGGTGGTGCTACGGCGGTGGCAACGATGGCCTACCCCGCTGTCGGCGCCACCGGTTGTGCAACAAAATCCAATTTAGGTTTCAAAAGCTTGATGGAGAGTTTCACTGTGGACATTCATCGAGCAGATGGCAGGCAATTAAACGTCCCACTGATTGCACCTTTTACGATTGCGACATCGAGGCTTGAGGGAGTGGAGAATGTGGCGGTTCGGGTGGAGTTGAGTAATGGGTGTGTCGGGTGGGGCGAGGCTCCGATTCTACCATTTGTGACGGCGGAGGATCAGAACACGGCTTTGAAGAAGGCAGGGGAGGCTTGTGAGTTTTTGAAGAAGAGTGAAGCGATGAGTTTCGGTGATGTGTTAAGAGAAATTGGTCAACTTCTTCCTGGCCATGAGTTTGCTTCTGTAAGTTTTTCAATTTCATGTTTTGCTGGTTTTGATGAAATATTTAGATGTGAATCTTGATTCAAAATAGGCAGCTTTCTACAGTTCAGTGAAGACTTAAGTTTTGATCTCATTAAACCAAATAATGGAACTATTGAATCTTGTTTTGCTATATTTACCCACCAAATGTTGATGTACTATAAAAAAATGCTTAATTCACAAAGCTTTCTGATATTGATTATGAGCAAATACCAAAATTTGGTGTTAAATTTGTACCCAAAATCTTAACACCATTTTCTTCATCCAAGATTTTATTGGGAAATTATAGTTGAATGAAAAGGGAAGTGATAGCTGCCTGCCACCGTTGCCAGATAGGATGCTTTTTGAAAAGAATTTGCTTTATAGGACATAAAAGTCTCTGTCAGAATGGAGATACATGCTAAACTTATCCAATTCAACCATTTTTGATCGTTGACTAAAATTTAAGCCAAAAACAAATGTTAATGGCTGAGCAAATAAGCTATTAGTGTTGCTAAGCTGATTAAGCAAAAAAAAAAAAACAAACAAACCCTGAATAATTATAAGCTCTTGTTAGTCTGCTAGGTGATTTGTAGTGCCCTTACTAAAGAAGCTTGGCTTCACCAACTTATCAAAGACTATTTATTGGAGAGATTCCTCCAACTTTTTGGCATGTTATTTGCCCAATTTTTTCTGTCTTTTTTGTAAATCTGCAGTTAGGTATGAAATTGGTTTCGGCTTTGTCAAGTCTTGGCTATTTCGGAATGAGTTGTGATCAAAGGTTTAACCATGTGATTGCAGCTCTTTTTTGGGTATTTATTAGATGCATGGGGTTAAAAAAGTTCCGATCTTTGAGTACACAACAAATTTTAACCATTTAAACATGATTAGCTTCTCTGGTTGCAATCATCAAGAAATAAGAGTCCCCTCACCCTTTGCGCTTTCTTTTGATATTTTGGTTGTTCTCAGCGTGAATGAAAATTTCGTGTGTTTAACCTGAGATGGTCTCCTAATTCTTTCCTCTTTTCAAGTGTCTACAAAACACCCCACGATTCTAAACGTTCAAAAATGGATACATTTATCAGAACATAATTTCCTTTTCCAGATTGTCACATGATAGTAATCGAGAAACAATGAACTATCTGAGAACGTCATGTCATGTAATGCCATGTTATATAATCAGAAATATGATTCTGTTTTCTTTCTGTAATGAAGTAACATGCACTCCTCTTTCTTCTACATCATTTTTTACATGTGTGTTATGCATATGTGATTTTGACATTTTCTTTAAATGAAACATTATACATGGGCATGAAAGTCATTTACTGTCCTTTTTATTTTTAAAATTTATCAAGTTTGTTCTCATAATGTTGCTATACACCTCAAAGGTTAGAGCAGGGGTCGAGATGGCTGTGATTGATGCAGTTGCTACGAGCATTGGCACACCTTTATGGAGATTCTTTGGTGGGGTTTCGAATACAATAACCACAGATATTACAGTTCAGTTCCTATCCAAGTAATTTAAGTTACAAATTAAGTTTTTACGGAGATTCTTTTCGTAGAACTAAAATGACAAAGAAGAGGAAGATATTCTTAATCCAAATCTTGTTTTACTGTAGATTCCTATTGTTTCCCCAACTGAAGCTGGTCAGTTGGCTTCAAAGTATCATAAACAAGGGTTCAAGACTTTGAAGCTTAAGGTTGGCAAAGATCTGAATGCTGATATTGAAGTGCTTCAAGCTATACGCATGGCCCATCCTCATTGTCAATTTATCTTAGATGCCAATGAGGGCTACACCTCCTCGGAAGCTATTCAAGTTCTTGAAAAATTACATGGTAAAGTTATCTTTGGAAGATATTAAATCATCATGCATTTTATTTGGTAATTTGCAGATCATTTAGATATGTACGAGAATTAAAGCCATGAAAGTAAACTTGAAGGAGTTGGCGTAGTGGAAAAGATTTATGACTTGTCTATCACAAATCTCACGAATCCCACGTGTTATTTACCGGCAAAGTTTATAAACTAGCTGTTGGCTGAAAAGCTAGCTATTGGATGAAAACTAATTGAGATGCTAGATGACAATGTGAAATGATCTAAAAGAACATGTTGAAAAACTAATTAAAAAATATAAAGGGTATAATTGCAAAAAAGTGTTATATACTTTAAAAAAGAATAATGGTAATTGGAAAAAGGTGGGAAAAAGCCCATGAAGCTTGTTGAAACGTTACTTGAAGTAGTTTTCCAAAAATCTAGCTTATGGCTAACCAAAGGGAGCTTTTTCAACAAGCTCCAAAATAAGCTAGCTTAGTAGCCTATAGTCGCCAAACATGGTCTGAAAGTTTTCCCAGGCCATGGGGAGGGGGCGTTTGTACTAGTTGAGCAAAAAGAGACATACACTTTTCAGAAATAAAGGAATTCATGAATATAATGATAATTGGTGTTTGGCAATGGCTTTTACGAGCAATATTGGTCCTTAAGAATCCAAATTCTTGATACTAGTTGAAATATATCTCCTGTGATATGATTGCAGAAATGGAGGTGACTCCTATTCTTTTTGAGCAGCCAGTTCACAGAGACGATTGGGAAGGTTTAGGCCACGTCACCCGAGTTGCCAAAACTAAATATGGTGTTTCGGTTGCTGCTGATGAAAGTTGTAGGAGTTTAGCCGATGTTAAAGAAATAGTGAAACGACAACTTGCAGATGTCATTAATATTAAACTTGCCAAAGTAGGTGTCCTAGGGGCTCTTGAAATTATTGATCTGGCAAAAGATTCAGGACTCGATTTGATGATTGGCGGAATGGTTGAGACCAGACTTGCCATGGGCTTTGCCGGTCATCTTGCTGCTGGTCTAGGGGGTTTTAAGTAAGTGAGACTATTTTTATATGACCTTTTTAGCTTTTAACTTAGCGTTATTTGACTTGCTTTTATTTTTCAAGCGGGGGGGTCTTTACGGAAAGAACCTCTGTACTCTCTGGTCTAGAACCAAGGTCTGCATACATCCTAACCCAGCTGGGGCACAAAATAATTAGCATAATATAGTATAAAATAAATTTTAATTGTAAAAACTACAGTTTTATTAAAAAATAAGGGTTTTTTTGCAACATCCAAGTGGTTTTTATCTTCTTTTCTGCTGTTACCAAACAAATATCAAAAGATAGTACCACAAGCAATGATATTACCAGTAGGCTGCAGCCACTTTTTCTTAACTTAGAGGAGCACGCATCAATTCAAAGCGGATACACCTTTAAGAAGACCCCTAATTTTTTTCCGAGACGATAGAGAGGGGCATGTGCACCTGCTACCTCATCCCTAAATCCGCCCTTGATACTGGGTTCATTTGGTTTGGTTTAATTTATAAGATGCAAAACTCTGTTTAATTTAATTGCAAATTCTTGAACAAACTTGTTTTAATTTCATCAACAGATTTATCGATCTAGATACACCACTTCTGCTGTCTGAAGATCCGGTTTTTGAGGGTTATGAAGGTAATTTCAGCCTTTGGTTTCTTGAGCTTTCGACAAAAAGAAGATTCTTACCATCTTGAAGCAGTAGTAGGATTTGTATTGTAGATACTTTAGGTGAATCTTGAATTAACTTATTGTCTGTTTTCCTAGTTTCGGGTCCCACTTACAAGTTCACAAACGCTAGAGGCCATGGCGGTTTTCTTCACTGGGACAATATTGCTTGGTGAGTTCTAGATTTTCGTTCTTCATTGTAAATTGTATATTTACTCGACACCACCATGGCATGCATTCTTATACTGGGTTCATTTGGTTTTGTTTGGAAGTCAAACAAGGTCCGTCACTAGAATATGCTCCTCCGATTCCATAAAGTCTGATATACCCTTTCAGTGATTTTCCATGAAAATTTTGACATTCACTTTCTTGGAAAGATTTAAGCTCGCGTAATCATCGTTACAAATGAACTCCTGGCACTGTTTTGGTCTGCAAGAGTCCATTATTTGTCTTCAATTGAAGAACATTTTAGATATCTGACAAATACTCGAACATTTTAGATAAATCATGTCCAAGACGAACAATTTTTATGGATAACTGTGGTGCCTGGGCTAGCTTTCATGCACCTTGACTAATTCCATGGGGTCCTGAAGTTAACAGCTCTGAGGGACTCGAACTGGTGACCACTGGAGAGCAAACCTGAAGATTGTCTAAGTCAAGTTCTTAGGCATGTTGCATTATGTCTAGGAGAGAAACTACTCCCTCATCCCAAACTAATGATTTTCCATCTTAGATTTTCCGGTAAGAATGCAACATATTGTTTTCAGCGAGACCCCAAATCAAATTACCTATTTGCCCGTTAACAATCGCCACCATATATTAGTGACATTGATTTTGGTTCACAGGTTTTCATTATTTTGTCTTGTTAAGGGGCGATTTAGGCATTTGATTATCCAAAGACTCGTAAACTACATGTAAACTTCTACCTCAAGAAGTGGAGCATGTGTTTCCATAAAGACTCCTAGCTTATGAAAAGTTGTCCACCATTGACATCCGTGGTAATTCATTAAGCAGATGAAACTTCAGTTGTCCGCCATTGATGCATCCATGTTAATTCAACAAGCAATATATACTTGATAGAACCGTGCTAGTCTAGCAGATGTTACTCTGCACCCCGACCCTTTTTTTCGCCTGAAGTATTTGTGTTTGCTCGGCTAACTCTTTTTTTTTCCCCCGAAGTATTATAATATTTTATATACGACAAAACTCTTACACGCTCCTCACCTTTAGTGAGGTTGAGCTCTACTAGTAGCCCGGATACAATGACCTTTTTTGGTTTGGCTAATTCCGGCTGAACCAAACAAAAGAATGATGCAAATAATGTTGTTCAAAATTCTTGTGGAACAGATAAAACTAAAGAGGATGGATGAGTCGATCTTAGAGACCGAACTCACACTATGTATCAACTTTCGGTAAGTGTCCATGTTTATGTTCTACAACATCTATTTTTTGCTGCCAATGAAGTGGGCAGTTATTCGTACTTGTACTCTATGGACCATCTTATTTGTAATGGTTATGAGTCAGTTTCTGTCACATAATTTGAAACGTTTGCCAATGACTTTATAATCGGTTGTTTCATAGTTTAACAAAATGCCGTCACTAGAAAACAACAGTAAGTTTGGTGGTAACATGAGTAAGTATGTTAAGAAAAAGTAAAAAGAATGAACGACAACGCTTAATAAGAAAATTTATATATGCATCTTGTAACGTTCAAAACGGGACTGGTTAAGGAAACGATTACTAGGGATCGGTTTTGGTTTTTTCGAGAGGGACCAGTTAAGAGTATGGATTTAAGGGATTGGTTTAAAGTATGGATTTAAGGGATTGGTTTTGGTTTTCTCGAGAGGGACCAGTTAAGATTGGGACCGGTTGTGGAAGGATTTTAACCGGTTAAAAGGTTGATAAGATCCATTTTTACCCACTTGTATGGTAAATGTACATCAATATTTCATGAACTTGCTTTAACAAACTCATCTCAACTATCAATACAACTTTAAATTTTTAGAGTAATACATTTGGTCCATGTGGTTGGAGTTTATTGTGGAATTCTTCTTTGAACTTCATTTATTATGAAAATACCCAAAGTTTGCATTTTGTTACAACACGGCTGGTCTTGAGATTTTGGATGTCCACGGCGGAAAGTCAAAAAATATGTCCCTAATATGTGTAAATAAAAATTAAAATAAACTATTTGAAGGGTTTTGGAACCTAGTCAATCTAACAAAAAAAATGCCCCTTAAATATAACAGAAATGATGCAACGGGGGGGACATAAACCAAAACCCCGTGTAACAAAATATAAAGTACATCACCATTCACCTAAAACGATGTCTTCTTGCGTTTTTTGAAGCAAAAATATCTATCACTTCGTCATAACTAATATTAGCTAAAAACTTACTCTCAATACTCAAGATTGCTAACCCGTTCAATCTTTCTTGACTCATGGTAGACCGTAGATATGACTTCAACAACTTTAACTTTGAAAAGCTTCTTTCCGCAGATGCTACGGTGACCGGTACGGTCAATAGTATCCTGTAAGCAAGCAAGACATGTGGAAACATGTGTATTTTCTTTGCAAACTCCATAATTTGTATTGATGTCCAATGATTTCCACTTTTAGATGCCTCTTCTGGTAGCATTCCCTGCAAAACTTGTAACTCCATAAACAAATATTCGCCATCAATATCAAAATCATTACCATTTGTTAAAGCAAGTTCAAGGTTCAAACAACATTTTTTTAACTCGTCATCATGTAAAGTAACCAAATTTTGCCCATCAAACAAGAAGCCAAACATAGATTCAAATTCTTGCATTTGTTCAAATCTGGTTCGTAATTGCAAAAGAGTCATATCAACTAAAACAAGAAAATAATCAGTTCTAAATGTCTCTTGAGCGGATTGTTGTTCTCTCTCCGTATCTGGAATTTCATCAAATTGTTTTTTCCTTGAGAAAAAACGTTTTATAGCAAACTCAGGTTCAATTCCAATATTATTTGCAATCTCTTTAGCTTCACGAATAGCACATGTAAACCCATTTTCCCTCTATTTTTCAAAATATTCAACTAATCCCTTTAGATTTTGTATTGCAACATCAAGAAGCATATTTTTAGACTGTAACTTCTTGCTAACTAAATTAATTATATATATACAGAATTTCATGCCAAATAACCAAACTTACAATAAACTCAAAACTTGAAAGCTCACCATTAAGTCATTAACTAAAGACTCGGCTTCCCTACACACTCTTCCATCTGATTTTTGCCAATTCCCTCGCTGATCCCTCGCTGATCAGCGATGGATTTTCCTATTTTCTTGATTTTTATGTGTTACATGTACACATTTTTATATTTAGATAGCGTATGTATACATATAACAATTACAACATCGTGTAAACATATATATATATATATATACACACACACATGCGTACATATAATACACATCGCGGTTAGCGACCACAACGTATATACATATATATATACAAACAACACATATACATGTATAAATAGGACACCAACACATAATAATATGTACATATATCACATAAAACCGAATAAAGCCATTAAGGCCCGATAGATGGATTAAGGCCCGATAGATGGATTAAGGCCTAATAAAACCGAATAAAGTCCCTTAAGGCCCAATAAAACCGAATAAAGTTCCTTAAGGCCCAATAAAACCGAATAAAGCCATTAAGGCCCGATAAAACCGAATAAAGTCTCTTAAGGCCCAATAAAACCGAATAAATAGATGTGTACATATAATACAAATCGCGGTTAGCAACCACAATATATATATATATATATATATATATATATACAAACAACACATATACATGTATACATACGACACCAACACATAATAATATCTACATATAACACATAAAAATGGAGAAAATCAAGAAAATAGGAAAAT